AGATTTCTTGAAAAAATTTGAGTGTCGTACGAAAGGAATGACTGAAAAATTGATTAATTCCGAACAAGTTGAAAGATATTTTAATATGTTAAATATTGTAAAAAACTCAGTTCAATGTTTGAAGGAGAACTGAGCAAAACGTCATTGATTCAGAAAAGTTCCAAAGGAATTTCATTGCTGTTGATGTTGAAAAAACTCAAAGACTAAGAAATATCTTACAGTTAGTTTCTCGGCGTCTCAGCGGAGTTATAATGTTAAAAATGGGGATTCGATACCCTCGGTAGGCAGAACACAGATAGCCCACTGCACTTAACAACAAAACAAACGTCTTACAGTTAAATAAATAAAGGAGACTTTGAACACGTAAAACATATTATATTCTTCTCCCACCATTGCTTATTTATATCATGTAAAAAATTAAACTTTCAGTGATTTTTCATTAAACACATAGACTAGAATATATAATCATAAACACATATATATAGTTTATAACTTTACTTTTTGCAGTATCTTGTCAAACGAAATTAATTTCAGATAAATCCAGCTACAATTGTATTATACTCTTTCAAGGCTTTTTTGTTTGAAACTCATCTGTAAGTATAATTGAACAACGGTTTTCGGTTTTTAAAAACAACTCATGTACAGTTTTATACTACTATTAACACAGTGTGTTTACTCGATAAATAATTTAACTGGATTATATACATGTTTCCCAGTTCAGAGGTCATTACTATCGGCGTTAATCTGCCAGTTCTTGGCCCATCTTGCCTACCGCTACGAACACTTAATTAAACTGCACGGGTGTCCATATCACATTTACCCCTCCTCCATCCGCCCACAACACAGAGTAGAAAGAAGGAACAATTCATCAGGGAGCGTCTAAGTAATTCCGTGCTTGTATTATTGAAACTTAAAATCTACACGTTACCTCCTCTTTTGAATAAAAAGTCACAAAAAAATGTAAACTTTGGAAATATTTTAATAAGTCATCTTGAACTTTATTTTCAATTTTTTATATTTATTTTGTTAAAATGAAGTTATTAGAAGAGCGTCAAATTTACTTATTTATAACTCTGTCTTTTGAAATGCTTTGTTTATCTACATGTATTCATTTACTTTGTTAATGTACATATATTGTATATACTTTTATGCATCATTGGAGTCGTACATTATCAAACAAAGCTGTGAAATGCAATTGTCTTAAGTAGCTTGGACGTTCGTAAACTAAGGGTGACCCGAGTTTAGTAGATATAATTTGTAGAGAACTTTCTTTGACCACATGGTGTCTTGATTCTCATGACCACTTAATTAACTAACATTGTTATTGATAAATGTACAAAAAATGAGCATGATTATTAGTGGTATGTGCTCAATAGATGGCCTAGCAATCTAACACGACAGTGTTGTTCTCACAGGAAATTAAGCCTAGTTAGGCTTCACGAGATGACAAGCAAACGCGGAGACAGGCTTAAAAGCCATCTGCCTGTTTTCTTAAAGCTGAGAGAGAGATAACAAACTAAAGCACAACCATATGGCTTACTCGTTAAAATGGTGGTTGATGGTTAAATTAATAATTTTTCTCACAAGGAATCTGGAATGAAGGGAGTTTTTTGTTATGATCCTGAAATGCTCAGTGCGAAACTAGAATTAACTGGAAACTTAGCATTTCCGTCACAAGTACCATTTATCTTTCGACCACTTGATAAAGCACTACACCAAGTTATAAGAAAAAAAAACAAAAAAAAACATTTAACTTAAGAACTTCTTACATTACTATTAAATTTGGTATGAAAATTTAGAACGTTTGAAGATCGGGTAATTTTCAATTTGGCGTTTCAAGCCAGAATGAGAAGAAAAAAAAGTTCATTTTTTTTTCTTACTTCCATTCGTAGCAACGTTTAATTTGTTGCTAATTTTGAAGTTTGCCATTACTTTTTCCACTTTAAATAATGCATTAAGGAACATATATTACAACTGATTTTAAATCTAAGTCGTGAATCTCAATCAGGAAATGTGAACTTATTCTAGACAACATAACGAGAAGGCAAGACCGCGGAGTCACTGATAGATTGAAGACTTTGAGGGGAAGGTTACAATTCATTTATTGTTCATAGCATATTGCTGAGAGATCACCACCAAAGAAGGGAGGATTACGTGGTGATACTTAATAATGTTCCGCGGATGTCCGACAGTTGTTGATTGTTCCTGCGCTCTAATTGCGGTTATGTTACAGATGTTACACATCTAGGTAGATCTGCTGCTTAGAATCGCTGACTTTACTCTGGTGGGAACAGAACACAAACAGGGAGACGACAATTAGCAACCCCCAAATACCCCCCACAGCCGACATAAGCCAGGCCAACGACTTTATTTTGTGACACATTTGTAGGTAACATATTGCGCTCTGAAGTGGTATGGTTAAGTTTTTGTAAATTACAACCTAATTTATTAATTTATTGTTTAAAATGAAAAAAATAATCCAAAATGTTAACCACGAAGAAAATTCGAATGCATGTAGTGTGGTAATTATGAAACACAAGCATTTACTCTCATTTCTCAACGCTACTTTATATGGAGAACAAACTCAACAACATAACATCACTGACAAATGATCAATTGTTCGAGAGCTCATACGAGTAGTCTAACACGAAACCTCTGCCGGTGTTCAGTATCGTTGCTGTTTAATCCAAAACTTTGGTTGAGAACTTCGCAATAACTTTGATCCAAGCAAGCTACCTAGTTCAGAACTAAAAATAAACCAGTAATTAATGTAGCTAACTTAAAATACGGTTCTATCCAAAAGTATTAATTCTATAAGATAAAAACTTATAATAATTAGAATACATGTATACATCAGTTGGGTACCCATTTCAGTTATCTATATGATCGGACGTAGTACCAAAACCCTCTCCTAACGTTTGACAAGAGCAGGACATTTATATTACCCATAAGTCCATATACCAAGTTAACAATGCAATACACTCCTCATAATAACAATATGCATAACAAATAATGAAAAATAAATATATAAATTAAGCATTGTAACCAATGCTGTTAATGGAACTAACATTAAAAAACAGTCGAATATATATTTTTACAAGACACGTAAGAACTAGTTAGTTGCTTCGTAACCTATCACTAATTGCCTGGTCCAGTAGGAGCACAGTTTTCATACAGTAATTGATATTCGCATTGCACACGCATCATACTTTGAAATTTTATATAAAGTAGCACATGGTGGGACGCATTTGTCGCGGTAGCCATCTTGGTTTTACGTACTGGTTGGTGTGTCCACATGTGATGACGAAACGTACGCGCACCTACCAGTAGATGACATTGAAAATTCAACGGAAAATATATGTCATAATATGAAATTTTCAGACCTAATGCATAACCTGTGAGCGAAATCTGAATATTTAGCAAAATACATCTAATATAATATAATTTCGTACCGATTTTACATAACTGCAAGTTGCACTTCAGAATAACTCGTCCAAAACTTTGGTTGAGAACTTCGCAATAACTTTTGTCAAAAGTTATTGCGAAGTTCTCAACCAAAGTTTTGGATCAAAAGTTATTGCGAAGTTTTCAACCAAAGTTTATTTTAGACATTAAAACAACAGTGCACATAGAAGAGGTATAATTTCGTTTATAATTAATAAAATGCGTGCATGTAATGACTGGTCAAAATTACAAGTTAAGGGCAGCCCCACGTGTTTTCATGATATGTCTGAAGGACCCACGTGGGACATTTTCCCAAGAGAATCGTCTATAAAGCTGAGATAAGTTCACGTCTGTCTCGAAAAGAAATGACACCAAATAAAATATTATTGGCTTAAAAGCTCTCTGTGGTTTTCAAAAGGTTACCGAAATAAACACTTTTTTATGAGGATAGGGGAGTGACATAAGTGGCATAAATAAAACACGTGTATGTGAATGTAAGAGGGACCGACGAATCCCTTAATATTACATACTTCTTGAAGCTAGCTTATAAAACAAGACATAATGTGTGCACTAAAGGAACACATGGTTTATGTTTCATAATCATTTTCAGTAGAGAAAGTGATGCTTGTTAAAGAACCAGCGTGTTCTATACGGTTTGTCATTTCTCGAGTAGACATTAATCAAGAATCGAGACACGTATTTCTTTGACCTCTTTACTTTTGAAGTATTTCATTCTTCTTTCCTTGTTTTATAGTGTTCAAGCAACTTGTAAACGTTGCCATTTCGTGAGATGATTGTCGCATACGAGTTAATTTAAACGAAACATAATATAGAAATATATATGAACTCCAATTAATTCTTCCATTAATAAGTTAAGTAGATAAACAGAAGGATGATTAAATATTTATGGCAATGGACATAAAATTACTAATTCTAATTGAAAATCTATACGTTTTTAACTTTTCACGTCCACCGTGTATGTAAATATATGTTTTCGTTGCACTGAACAGATTAAGTGGGACATTAATTTTATTTAAAAATATATTGAACATACGTTAATAAAACAATAACTATAACAAAGACATACATTTAAGTTAACTTTCGTTTAGACCTGGGTAGACATTAGGCTTAGGTGCACCCAAGAGGTCGGTAATATTTACTCTCAACGTAACGCATGTAGTCAACAATAACGGAAGGAAGATAAATGTGGCATTGATGTAAAAAACAGCACTCGCACTTGCTTGTAACATGCTTACACCTGCTCAAGCTGTACGGTGGTCAACAAAACGAACAAACTGTAATAAAATAAAATGTCATAAAATAGAATACCATAGTTAGTTTGTTTAGTATACCATAGTTAGTTTGTTTTGCTGTCAAGAGAAAATCTACACAATGAGTTATCTTTGTTGTGCCCGCCTCGAGTATCGAAACCCGATTTTGAGCGTTATAGACCCTCAGATATATGGACGAGCAACCGGGGGTGGGCGATATATCACAGAGAAAAATTAAATAGAGTTGAGAAAGATTTGAAAGAAAGGAAAAAATATTTAACTTACTAATTCGTGCTTCGCAGGTGGTTCACATGTTGCAATTACCTGAAGCAAATAGAAAACAAAAATAAAAGTTAAATGTACTGAAGTTGTATATAAATGTGTGAAGATTAACAAAATATATCTTGACATGATAAAAACTAAATTCATTGTTGAAAGGTAGCGAGCGTATTCACCAATCTAAAAGAAAAAAACGAGTTTTGTGTGAGTTTTTCATCATTATTAATAATTTTACCAATCTAATAGAAAAAAAACCGAGTTTTGTGTGAGTTTTTCATCATTATTAATAATTTCACCAATCTAAAAGAAAAACCAAGTTTTGTGTGAGTTTTTCATCATTATTAATAATTTTACCAATCTAAAAGAAAACCGAGTTTTGTGTGAGTTTTTTATCTTTATCACTAATTTCACCAATCTAAAAGAAAAACCGAGTTTTGTGTGAGTTTTTCATCATCATTATTACTAATTTCACCAACCTAAAAGATAAGTCGAGTTTTGTGAGTTTTTTCACCATTATTACTAATTTCACCAATCTAAAAGAAAAACCGAGTTTTGTGTGAGTTTTTTCATCATTATTACTAATTAACCACAAATGTAGCTATTTAAGTTTTTAATCGATTATATATGTATATATATATATACCTAACAGGGCCAAACAGCGCCTCCCTAAATTATTTAATCCATTATATATATATAATTCACTGCTATTAGCTTATTACCACAACTTTAAAGAATGATAAAAATTATGAGGGAATAAATGTTGTGTTTTCAAAGTTATTTCACGTGTTCTATGAAATATAAGATTTCATTAAATATAGTCGTTATTCAGTTTTTGAAAAATGAGCTCACAGAGGACTTAAAGTTTACCTTGTTTTAACAAATAAGATTAACTTTATCATATGTAGACATGGTTCTAGTTCAAAATTAGTATCTGAGTTTTGTTTGTTTGTTTGTTGTTAAGCGCGAAGCTGCACAGTGGACTATCGGTGCTGTGCCCATCGCGGGTATCGAAACCCGATTTTTAGCGTTATAAGGACTTACCGCTGAGCCACCGGGTAACAAGGATATAGGAGTTAATATCGTTTTGTTTTATAAGTTTAATCAAAGCTTTGTTTGTTTTATAATTTTCACGTATATGTACACAAGGGCTACCTGTGTAATAGCCGTCCTTAGCTTTGAACTGATAGACTAGTTGGAAAGCAGCTAGTCAACAGCACCATCTGGGAACTCTTGGACTTCTCTTGTCTAACACCGAATAGTAGCATCTGACTGTTCCTCTTATAGCGCACCCACAGTCCAAAATTGAGAAGCGTATTTTGCGGCAACGAAGCGCGAATCACGAATTCTATAATTCATAGTCATTTTCACGTTTTTCAAACTATAAAATTTTAAGAGTTATCACTCTTCTTATTACTTGCAACACTTTGATGTCAGAAATGACTTCATAAGTTACGTCTTAAATATATAACAGTAACTTGGTTTATTATAAACAAGCTGAATGTCCGTCATATGACGGGAAATAATGATCAATTTCCTTCTCAAAATTGTATCTTAATAGATGTTTTGTAAACATGTTTTCTAAAAATTAATTATAATATAGTAACAATATATGTATGGAGAATGACTATTCTATTTCTAGTATTTCACAAAACAAAAATGTTTATGTATATTTTGGTCATCTTCTTTAAGTATTACTTGATTAGCAATTTTACTACTGTATACTTTAAAGTTATGTTCAAATTGTCTTCTTGTCAAATCATTATAGATTGAAACACGTGAAAAACTGATTTTCAAAGACATATTCCTGCATGGCCAGCTGTATAACCCTACAAATTATTAATTGTGATGGTAAAGGCAGTGAATTTTATTATGAATTTTTTGGTCTTCTCTTTGGACTGTCTTCCTGGTTGGTTGTTTTCAAAATTGAAATGTGCTGCGGGTAAAACATACGGGTTATTATAGAATTGTAGCCGAGGATTCAGATTGGATAAAATTTGGTGATATTGTACCAATGTGTCTCCTGGACAACCAAGCAAACTTAATAGAGAATTTCAGCCAATAATTAAGATTTTTGTGCGCCAACAATACCAAGTGTAGGGTGCGCGTATACACGATTCGATTTTATTACTCATGCAACGGCCGATATTTCAGTGTGACAGACGGGTGGCTTTTCGTCTTTATATAGTAGATGTTCCCTTTGGGAAATGATGGTCTAATGCTACAATGTTTTTGCACATTAGGTTTACAAATTAATATTAATATTTCAGTACAACATAAAATAAAACAACGTTTATTAACGAACTCTAATCATTGGTAGTTTACTGTTTTTCAGAATACTTGTTGTCATTCTTAGATTTATAAACTGCAACGTCTTTAAACACATAGCTTGTATGGGGGGGGGAATAATAACTCAAAATTTTCCGATCATAAAACTCATCTAATTAACCTAAATCAACTATAAATCTACAAGTTTTAATACAAATACAGACATGTATGCATACGCATATCTATTGCTACGTATTATAGATACAAAATATTTAAACTGAATAAGGTTTTGACGTACGCAACAGACTGACACCCTGTACCGCCAGATATATTGGTAGAAACGTACGTGACAACAGTTTACAAGTTCTATGCTAATTACAGTGTAAAACAACAAGCCAATGAACTCATTATACATACATAATATATCAATATTTTATCACAAACTCTTTTTCAACCGTTAATTTCAAAGCCAATGATGACTAGAATCGTTCCTATTCTGTCTTTTCAGTCTCAAGTGTTTGAATAACCTCACAGGT